CATCCACACGCAAAATGACGCTCCACTGGAGATGAAATTTGACCTCTGCCTTGTGTGACGGCCGGGCTCCGAGGAAAAGGGCAGGAAGTTAAAAACACATTTCGAGCCCCGTCGCCATCTTCTCGGCCGCTCAGTCATCAGCTGATTCCGCCGCCGCGGCCGGGGGGGACGCCGTATAACTCGGCGACATGTTTGTTTGACGCGTTTTGGCCCGAATGTCCGTGTTTCACGTCGGCACTAACGGGTCCTCGGGGTTGGTTGTGTGTGACGGTGTGGGGGTTGGGGCCTGGGGATACTTCCCCCTTCCCCTCCCTCACCCCGCCCCTGTCTCTCTCCGCTGTTGCCGCTCATATGGGCCCCCCCTCCCTCGTAAATTTTCAACCTTTTTCAGTCAGCCCAAAGCGGCGGCGCATGAGGACCGAAAGGCCCCGCCGCCGTCCGCCGTCGCTGCTGCTGCCGCTGCTGCTGCTGGCGTGTTAGGACGCCGTCGACCTGGCCGAGTCCTCTGGTGCAGAACACACCGACATCCGTCGTGCGAATATCCGGCGGCCGGGCCGTCCTGGGGCGTGGCGGGACGTGGCGGGGCGAAAGAGGGGCACGCCGGGGGAGGGGGCGCCCCCGTTGTTGGCGAGGCGAGGAGACCCGTGACGTCGTCGCTCCTCGTTTTGGCGGACGCCAAAGGGGGAAAACGAGCGGGTCTTTTGCACGAAAGGGAGTATTTATTCTCTGTGCCGGTCATAGGCTCGCTCGCGGTCGTTCGGGTGGCCTACGTCGCAGGCGACTTGAACATCCGCTGCTGCTCAACGCTTCGACGGTGCTGCGGGTTCGTCACAGCGCTGCGCAGCTCCCGGGCGGGGCGGGAGCGACGGGCGCGTCTCGTCTCCGAGCGAGTGCCGCCGCCACCATGCAGGCCTCGCTGTGGTTTCCGTGCGCCCGCATCGGCGCCGCCGCCGCCGCGCCGCGGTGGTCGTCAACACGCGTCGAACTGACGACGCCTCCGCCTCCGCGCCGTGGAGAGAGAACGCCCCGGAGGCGGAGGTGGGCGGCTGCTGGTCGATCGTGGACTCGGGGACCCGCCTTGCTCGGGCGGCGGGGGAGTTTCCTACCCTAGGCTCCGTTTTTCGATTTGACATGCACTTAGCCCCGTATCCGGCCCCGTCCTGCCGCCGGATCCCACCCCGGTGGGCTGCTGGGCTCTGGCGGCGCTCTGCTCTGTGAGAGGACTCTCTCCTCGCAGCGAGACTCCCAAAAAGTGTGTGAGTGACGCACACCTGCAGTCGAGCGAACCAGATTACACTGCTGTAGATGTGTGACAGCTTGTCTGTGTTCGCTCTTTTCTGTGAGCGAGTGACCATTCATTCACAAACTTGTCGTTTAGTGAACAGCCATTCGTGCACTTACTTCCAACTTCCCCATAACTTGAAGTTGTGTGTGAATTGGTTATTCGCTCACCATCAAGAGTCTCCGGAATAACTTGTCGCATATTTACAACATGCGCCAATGCATTCACACTCGTTGCAACTTGCTGCACGCCGCTGTTCCAGAGCAGGCCGCACGGCGGCGGCTATGTCGATCGAAATGAGCAACAGTGCAACAACTTGAAGCGTGTCAAACGGCGGTTACTCTCGCGCGCCATAAATGTTGGCTGCGGCACCTTTCGCGCACTGCCCTCCCCCTCCCCCTCGCCCCC